TCTTTATACGTGTATGTTATAGAAGGTTCTCTTTATACGTGTATGTTGCAGAACATTCTCTTTATACGCGTATGTTACAGAATGTTCTCTTTATACGTGTATGTTATAGAACGTTCTCTTTATACGTGTTATAGAACGTTCTCTTTATGTGTACGTTGGAGAACGTTCTCTTTATACATCCATGTTGGAGAACGTTCTCTTTATACATCCATGCCAGTGGGATTAGAAATTCTATCAGAGCAATACAATATCTTAAGGAAGCTTTAGGCTGTACAACAGTTTACCTCTGACAGACTGACAGCCGCTGCTCTGAGTCAATAGGATCCTGGTAGTTGGTCCTCTACCTGCATGCGTCTATTCAAACCTGTTGGACTTTGCTTTGTACACAGTAAGCAAGCACTATCAAATGTATGTAATGTTTTACCACACATTTATGGACTCAGCATATCAGAAGGCGTGTCCTTAAAGTGATTGTCAGACCTCTGGAGTGGAAAGGCCTTCGCGTTTGATAGTTTGCATTTTGTGTGCAAGTGGAAAGTACAAACAAAGGCTGGCATTTGGATAATACCACAGACATGATGGGGGTTGTGTGTGTGTGTGTGTGTGTGTGTGTGTGTGTGTGCCACAGAGGCAATTATGAGTTATGAGTACTCTACACTGTTTATGTCTAGCTTGGTCTGTCACTTCCTTTTTAACAACTGTAAACTAAATTAAATGTTCCTGCAGGCTTGAGCATTTTAGCAGGTGCAGAAGGAGCTTGGCAAGCTGGAATTTCCAGTGGGGCACATCACATGAGGTCGTGTTTCAAACGTTTTGCAGGTTTGTAGTTGAGATCAAAGGCAAAGTTTGGTTATGGTGTGGTCCGAACACTTGGAAATCAGCTTAAGAGATTTTATTGATATCGTTAGCTTTCATCGTGTTCATATGTGAAGATTATCCTGCTGGACAGAACATTTAAGTATCATAAACATTTTGTTCGCCACAGAGTTTCTGCAATAATCCAAAAAGCCAATGGAAATATCTCATTGGCTTTTTGTCAAGGGAATCTTTGAGATGCTCACTTCCTGTTCGGTCTTTTTTATCAACTATAGTCACAACCTTTCACTTACCTTTAACATGTTGATGTTAAAAGCATTGTCATTGTCTGTTGATGTGGTTGGAACGTTAGCTGGGCAGCTAACTAGCTTAGTTAAACATGCATTTTAACCATTGCTACGGGATGAATTAATTCAAATGACTCCGGGTGAAAAAAATTATTGTCATTGTCTTGTGATCCGCTAAAATATGGACGCAAATATATTTTTTATGTTAGATTTATTTGTTAACTTGCGCAGTCATAATGTTGGAAAGTTAGCAAGCTAGCTAACTAGCTTAGTTATATGCTTTCACCATGATTTTGAGACATTGCTGTTGGCGACAAAATTCATTACAATTGACTAAAAATCATTTTCATTGTCTGGTGATACGGTTAAATATGGCCACATAAATATTTTTTTTTGTTCACTTGCGCAGTCATAATTTTGGAAGGTTAGCTAGCTAACAAGCTTAGTTAAACGCGTAACCATTGCTATGGGATGAATTAATTAAATTCAATCTAAGCGTAAAAATAATTGTCATTGTGGGTGAATATGGACAGACGTCTGTGTGTATCTTCTATGTTAATGTAAAGGCTATACGTGTGTATCTTCT